GCAGGGCAGCCCGCCAGCCCGCGTCCATCTGCGCTTCTCCACGGTCCCTGTGGTTTCGTCTCATTCCCTCGCCTGCGACACTCCAGCAGGCAGAAATAGCCCCAAAGCACGTGCCACCTTCTGGGGAGCGATGCCAGGGGCCAGGCAGCCCCAGCACCTCAGGCACAGCCCCCCCTCAGGGGCTCCTGGTGGCACCAGAGTGTCCAGCCCAGCACCGTGCCGGGGCACAGTCCGGGCACAGCGCTGTTGAGGAACATCTTCATTCATCCACCAAGATAATAAATTCTGCCTTAGAGTTTCTCACCTGGCAACAGTCACCAAGGAAACGAGAATGGCTGCTGCGGGTCCCCACTGGTGCTGCCTGGGGGGTCCCCATGGCCCTGGCAGAGGGTCTCCAGCTGCACCCTGTCTGGTCATCTGTGTGGGCAAAGGGCCAGTCACTCACTTGTAACCTGAGCCCAGGCACAGCAGAATGCCCATCGATGCAGGCTTGGCCTTTGCACCACCTCTCCAGAGCCGAGTGTGGGTTTCATCAGGTTTGGGGTGGATTTTGAGGTTTTCTTGGCTGTTGATCCTAGTGTGTGTGCGTTGGGAGGAGTGAACTGGAGCTACCTCAGGCTCCTGGGGGTTTTCCCTGTCCCTGGCACTGGTTTGGTCAGGGATTTTGGACACTTGTGTTAAAAGCAGTAGTACCCCAAGTGCTCAGAGATCTCTAGAAATCCATTGTTACCAGAAGGAGATGAGCTCTTGCTACCCTTCAGGATCCCGAGCCGCTGCCTCCAGGGCTGCCTGACACATGGCACTTCCCTATTTATAGCAGCTGTGGTCGTGCCTCCTCCTATCCCCTGCCAGGCTGTCCGCTAGCAGTGCCACCCCTAAGCTCAGAGGCAGGCACTGTCTTCCAACAAGTAATTTCAGACCTAGTACAGCTAATTCTCCAAAAAGCATCCCAGCCCCATACTTCCTGCAAACCTGGCTCTGACACTGGTCCCTGCAGTTGCTGGCACAGGCACAGAAGCAATCAGGAAAGGCCATCAGGCTGGGGACAGGGTTCTGTCCCTGGGCCAGGCTAGGGTAGCTGATGTGCAGCCACTGCCATGCCATCAGTAGCACAGGGGTGACCAGTTACTGCAAATATGGCAGGTGGCTGTGATATCAGAACAGAAACTTCCTCCATCAACCATTAACCACACATGGCTCCCTGCCCATGGCACTGCCCTGGGGCACCTCCCTTGCCCAGGGTGGGTGCTGAGCTTTCCAACAGCACGTGGTGCTGGAGAAGGGTGCATAGGACTGTGCCTATCCCAGGCCTGCACCCCTGGGGCCATACTGGATGCGAGGCAGCATCTCAGCATCTTTGGCTCATGGGTGGGATTTAGTTGGTCAAGGTAGTGCTGCTGGCACTGGGTGGTTTAGCATGGACCAGTGTGAGCCAGTGGGCTTCCTGTTTGCTCCACAGTACGGCTTTTGAAGGCTCTCCTTGTCCCTCTGGACCCCACTTCCCCCACCCAGAGCTCCTGCAGCTCAGACATCCTTGTATGATTTCTTCTGCTCCACACGCAACAGCGGCAGCATGCCAGGGAGGGCAGCTCCTGCTGGGAAAAGCACCAGGAAACCTGAGAAGCAAGATAAGAGCTTCAGAGTTACAGATCAAGGAGCTGGGGCTTTTTTCCTCCACTGTTGTTTGAGGGTCTCCACCACCTCCCTGCTCCCAGCCAGGCTCCTGATGGGGCTGGCCAGTGTTTCTGTCCCAAGTGGCAAAGGACCAGCTGCCATTCAGGGGGCATTCGTGCTTCATTAGGGCATGAAATACAAGCGGTGAGCAGTGATGTCCCCCAGCCCAGCTCAGAGTGGGCCCTGGGGGGGCAGCAGTTCTGTGCACACCATGAAGCACATGATCCTTGCAGGGGCTGCAGAGAAACATCCACACGGGGATTAGGCAGCAAGGAGCCAGGGACGCTGTTCCTTAGAAGAGGAATTAACTCAGCTGGAAACCCCACATCAGGCGATGTCCCCACCAAAAGCTGTTTATGCCAGCGAGGGAAGCACGAGGCTGCCCAGCACCATGGGGGTGCAGTGGGGTGGGTGATGCAGTGTCCAGTGCAGCAGGCAGCCCCACAACACACAGTGTCCCAGCAGCCACTGGCCTGGGCCGACCCACCAGGATTAAAGGGCCTGTGAGAGTAAGTAATTTAAATCCAGATTAGATTTAAGCAGCTGCTACGCAAAGGGGATGTGAGCAGGGGTCGCAGGGTGGGGACAAGCAGGTGAGAGGCTGACTGGTACCCCTGTGATGCAAGGGGCTGTCAGGGCAGGGTCTGTCCAGCAGGTCCATGCCCATGAGGTATTGCCCAGAAGGATGGATTTTATCCCCAGGTTTGGCTTGTGCATACCAGGCTGGAGGCAGCAGCGTTGGGCCACGGGACGGGGCATCCTGGGATGAGATGCTCCCAGCCATGGGGAGAGAGCACAGGCAGGAGGATGAAGCACATGGACGCGCTGGGCTGCTCACTGAGTAGGTGCCGAAGAGAAGCCATCCCTCCACGCGGGGTTGCAGACCATGTTCCACCTCTTCTCCCACTGCTGGTCGTGGCTGCAGGCCATACAGGAGCCCATCAGGTAGGTCACTGTGCCTGCTCCTCGGGATTCCCAGGGGACACAACATTTACCCGTGTGTTTATCAGTGGTGAGGGCACCAGTGCAGTAAGAGGGTGAGAGTGGTGCCCATTGCAGGAACTGTCCCTAGACTGCTAAGCAAGGCACATGTGTGTCCTTGCTGTCCCCTGAGCAGGCAGGAGCTGGCAGGCAGGGGAGCAGACTGGGCAGGGGTGCACATGCAGGGAATGCTCCCAGCAGGATGTCCCCTGTGCAAAGTCAGCAGCTCCCCAGGAAAAATGGGGAGGATGCACTGAAACACTGCTGTGTCTGTGTGTGTCCGGAGACCCAGGTTAATTACCCCGGGACAGCACTGCAGGGGGGTCTATGGTCCTCTCCCTCGAGAGGAGACCTTACCTGCTGAAATGCTGGAGGTGGAGCCATGCCACCCACACAGCCTGGTCTGTATGTTTAAGGAAGAAAACTATACTGCAAACGACTACTGTGGCTTGTCAACAACAGGGAAGACTTTCTCTATGTGCTTTGGTGGAGCACATTGCTGGAGACCAAATAGGACTGTTTGGCAACAGGAGAAACCACCTGAGTCCAGGCAGAAGCTTGTAAAAATGTCCTTGCTACCTCTCCCTAGTTGTGTGTACTCATAATTTACTGCCAAGGAAGGAGTAATCATTGACTGCATATAAGGAAGAATCATTTTGGCCTGTGCACACCATTGCTTAGTCCTATATGATATGTAAATAAGTTCTTGCCATAGGAAGCACCTTGAAGGCTCTGCATAGTGGCTGTCCCACAGTGTTGAGGTGGCTCCAGGCATTTGTGCCTTCCCTCACCCTCTCCCAGGCACCAGAGCCCATCCCTGCCCTTGCTCCCAGCTCAGTCAGAGCCTGTGTCACTGTCCCGTACCTCTCCTGGCTGAAGCGCAGCTACTGTGGACAGGGTCCCTTGTCTGGGAGCCTGGGGGCTTGCAGTGGTCACCACTCTCCAAGGAGCACAACCTTTCTCTGGGATGCTCAGCTGCTGTTGTCACTCTGCAGAAAGGTGACCCTCCTTGTCGTGGGGCTGGACAATGCAGGGAAAACCTCTGTCATCACGGACATAGAGAAAGGTGAGGAGCAGCACCAGAGCCGGCCTCAGCTGGAGGCAGCAGCTTTATCGTCCTTTGCAACCAAGTATCCAATACCCCTAAAATACAGCCCCTGTTCTGGGGAAGTGTGCAAGGCACCAGCTGTGCCGCGGGCAGCTCTGGGAGCGGGAGCAGGGATGTGGCTGGGAGAAGAGGAGGCACATGCCGCAGGGAAGCTCCCGGGCTCCTCTGCCAGCTCTCTGCCCTCTCCCCACACACAGCACTGGCCGGGGAGGTGCTGCCCGACGCACAGCCCGGCCAGACCCGCCTGCGGGTGGACAGGTTCGAGGTGACGCTGGTGGATCTGCCCGGGGGACAGCGATCCCGCAGTTCCTGGCGCAGCCACTACAGCGGGGCCCACGGGCTCCTCTTCGTCCTGGACTCCAGTGACCTGGCACGGATGGAAGAGGCCCGCAAGGTCCTGAGTCGCGTCCTGAGCCATCCCGACATCTCCGGGAAGCCTCTCTTACTGTAAGGCTGGTCAGCGGGATGTGACCTTTGGGGTTTGAGGTGAGGGGGGTGAGTGGGAACCTGTTGCTGGGGTTGTGGGTTGCGTGCACGGGCTGCTGCGGGGGCGTGGCGTCCAGGGTGCTGTCGAGGGGTGCTGGGACATGAGGATCACAGTGGCACTTGGGAGATGGGAGCATCCCTGGAGAGGAGATGAGGAGGGGGCTACAGTGCCAGGCAAAGGCTGGGGCAACGCTTCACCTAATCTCAGCCAAACTGGGAGAAAACACCAGCCTCCCCCGCCGTCGCGCAGCGAGGCGCCCAGAAGCCGGGCTGACGGCCGCGTTCCGCTCTCCCCATGCCCCAGGCTGGCCAACAAGCAAGACGCGGCGGCCGCGCTGCTGCCCTGCGAGGTGATCGAGCGGCTGTGCCTGGAGCGGCTGGTCAACGAGAACCGCTCTCCCTGCCGCATCGTGAGTGCGGGGCTGGCCCCGCTCCCCGCTCCCGCTCCCCGCGGAACTGCGCTCCCCGGGCTGACCCCCCGCCTGCCCGCAGGAGCCCTGTGTCGCCAAACGGGGCCCCCCCGCCGGCCCGGTCCGTGCCACCCTGCAGGGGCTGCGCTGGCTCCTCCGCGCTGCCGCCGCCCCGGCCCCGCCGCCCGCCGAACCCGCACCGCCCGCCCCGAGGGCCGCCCGCGCCCGCCGGCCCGCCCGCAGGTGCATAAGGGGCTCCGCGGGTGCGTGACCCCGTCCCCGTCCTCCTCCCCACAGCGCTCGACCTCAACCGCATCGTGTTCTCGCCTCAGGGACCGGCCGCGCCCAGGGGAGGATGCTCGAGAAGGTGCGGGGAAGAACGGGGACAACCGGCCGCTGCGACCCGTCTGCCACCTCCTGCCCCTGGTGCGTGAGTGAGACCCCAGGGGTGGGACGGGGTGGAAGGGGGGCTCCTCCACTTTCTTCTCATCCTCCTTACCCTGCCCAGGAGGAGAGCACTAAGGGCACCAGGAGGAGGAAGAAAAAGGTAAAGGTGAAGAAGAAGGGCTTGGGGCAGCCGAGCCCAGCTGAGGAGCCGGAGGGACCCGGAGAAGGGGGTGACAGACATGCGGGGGCCGCTGGGGGGCTGCTGCTCCCCAACAGGGTCGGGCAGGAGGAGCCTGTGCCCACCAGGATGACCACACCCCACCCAGGTGAGAGGGGGCTATGGGAGGCTGCCAGCACTGCTGACATCAGGACCCCCAGAGCCACCCTACAGGTAGGGTTTGGAACCTGGTAATACAGCAGAATGCTGGACCACTGGTCCCCGCCATTAGCTTTGCTTGCAGACCAGCAGAGTGCAGAGCAAGGTCACAGGAGTCTGAAGGGGAAGAGGAGAGACATCTCTGAGCACCTCTGCAGGGAATGGTGCATGGAAGCAATGAAGGACTGAGGACCCGCCACCAACAGTCCTCTCAGGTGGTTCGGTGACAAAGGCATCCTTGCCCAGGTGTGGTGCCTGAAATTTTGTGTTTCTCTATCCAGTGCAGGGCATGAAAAAGAAAAAGAAGAAGAAAATCAAGAATAAAATTAAGTCGCAGGAATCTTCTGTGGAGCAGCAGCATGAGGAGGTCTCAAGCACCTTTGGTTGGTATTTCCCAGGACAGATTTTGCTGAAAGCATCAAGGAGCCTGGGCTGCTGGCAATGGGGTGTGAGCTGTGCAGGGACACTTGGCCACGGGGTGCTTGGTGTGGGGACATGGGCACAAGCAAGTGCTGCTGCAGTGCAAGGTGGTGGCTGTTGGGGAGGCAGATGCAGCTGCCTCTGCCATGAGGTGGAGTGAATGCACTGTGCTGGAGGCTGGGGTCTCCTTGCAGCCCTCACTCAGCACAGGGTGCCAGGTGGGTCCTGGAGCTGGCCCCTGGTCAGTGCCCAACTGCTTCCCTTCCTTGCAGACTTGTACCGCCGGGCGATGCTGGCTCTGAAGATGAGGCAGGAGCAGAGGAAGCAGCCATCTGCCATAACCCCCTGATCAGGGAAGGCACAAACTAGGGGATGGGTGGTCCTAGAGGACCCAGCCTGCAGAGGCAGTGAGATCCCAGACTGAAGTGGCAGTGGGATTCATGCAGGGCTGCTGGGGTGCTTTTCCAGGGCTGGCAGTCCTGGGCAATAGATTCTGGGGCATGAACAGCAGCATTGTCCTTGGTGTGGCTTGGAAACAGGGCATTTGCAGGGACGAGCCAAAAGTCCCTTTGTAAGATGCTTCTCTGGCAGATGGTTGCAAACCCATCTGAAAAGGGAACAGCCAGCCCCCTGTTAGTATTCTGTGGAAGACTCCATCTAAACCCAGATTAGCCTGTGGAAGAGAGGAAGATCAGAGCAAACATCTCAGGGGAAAAAACCTTCATCTTGAGTTGCCCTATGTCCCAGGAAAGCTGTCTTCACAGGTCAGGGGCTGACTTGGCCTGTCAATCAGTCCCTGCTTACTGCCTGGAACAGTCTCATTTCCCAGTGGTGAAGATGGGAGAGCGGTCCCAGGTGTTCTGCAGAAGACCTTCATCCAGCCCACAGCCACATCTGGCAGTGTTGTCAGGACTCCCCTCACACGGGGAAGGAGGGTTATGCCTGTGTTTGTGCATCCAGCAGCCCGTTGGTGAAAGTTTAAGTTCAATGGCAACTGGTGGTAGAGGCTGCTGGAGGCTCCTTCCCCAGGATCATTCTTCCTGATACTGCCATCCTCCCAGGAGGGACAGTGGTGACCTGCAGGAAATGCAAAATCCTCCCATGTCACTGGCAGCCTGGCACCCTGCAGCCCCAGGCAGTCACTGCTCTGTGCTCATCTCAGCTCTGAGACAGGACAGCAAGCAACATTTGCAACACAACCCATCTGTGACACAAGCCTGTCACAGGGACTGAGCTGTGCCAGAGGACTGAGCTTGTGCTGCCTGGCTCCAGTTGGGTGTATGTGCTGGGAAACCAGTCATCAGTCCTGGAAACACTATGTGAAGTCAGGAGTGGGACGGTTTTCTCTTAACACCTGCAAGAGTGTTAGGACCTGAACTGTGCATTAGTCACCTCTGTTCCCATGATTACTGATAACAGGCCTTTGTGGTTCATGGGGAAGGAAAATCACTGAAGCCCCTTGAAGGGCTGAAAAGGGAAAAGAAGAGAAACTGCAGCTACACTGCCTTGCCTGCCTGCTATAAAGTTTTGTCTAACTCTGCTGGATTGAACTGTCAGAGACTATAAGAATTCACTGTAAATAAACTGTAAATAATAAGAGCACAAATTAATACTGGCCTGTAAATACATCACTTTTAGTAAACCCCTTGTCTCTGTCTGGTGGAATTCCTTGTGATGTCAGTGCTGTGGGCAGGAGTGTACAGAAGGGACTTGCACCTGTGGAACCCCTTCTCCTGGGATGGATCAGGACCATGGGTGCCCCCAGGGGGCCAGTCCAGGCTGCCAGCCAGGGTCACAAATCTCCACAGGATTAATGGGAAAGGAACATTAAAAAACGATCCCCTCTAACAGCCCCGTCTCACACATCCACTGGGTCTGGGAGGAGGCCGAGCACTCCCAAACAGCTGGAATCCCAAAACAGCCCACGGCCCACTCGCTGTGGCTCCAGAACCATGTGGGGAGTGAGAGCTGAGTGGGTTTGGGACCGTCTGGCACAGACGGCTGCAGCCAGCTCCCTCTGGTGATCCCCGCAGCTCCCGGCACTGCAGCTCCTCAGCACCAGCAGCGGCAGCCATGCAGGGACACAGCCCTGTGTGACACCCGCACTCAGACAGGACAGCCAGCAAGGCAAGTCCAAAGGCAGAACTGGCCCAACTGGTGCTGCTGGGCAGCTGAAAAAAACTTTCCCTGAGAGCCAGCTGTAAGAAACCATTGAGGTTGATCTAACACGTTTCCCCTGACATAATGATCTCCAGCCTGTAGTGCAGATAGACAGTTAAAATATATTTCAGAATCAAATCTCCTTATCCTAGTGCTTCCATGGGTGGAGAGCAGCTAATCCCTACTACAACCAGGAGACAATCCTGGTCTGCACCAACCAGGAATACGACTTTTATCTTCTTTAGAAAGTGAGCAGCAACAACTCCATGTTAAAAATGGTCTATCTCAAAACAGCTCAGAAATATCTCAGAAATGAGATGTGATCAAAGATAAATCAAAATACATTAATTAATGGCTAATCCATGCCACTGGATAATTGTTTGGGCTGCTCCTGCCATGTGTAAGAAGCGGCGGCTGTAGCACAGCGAGCATGCCTGGGGCAGGCAGAGTGGGCAGGGTCCTTTTTTCCATATTTCTCATCCTTTTATTCATCTTACATCCCAACAGCTGAATAACCAGCAAGGGCAGGAGGTCTCTGGGGGGCATGGTCCTGGTGGCACTACCTTCTGTCAGGGGGATGAGGTGCAGCTCTGCCCAGGGTGGTCCTGGAGTGTCCAGTCTGCTGGTGGTGCACTGAGGCCAGGCGTGGGGCCCAACAGTGGTGCTTGCCTTGAGAAGAATAGCCCCAAAAAGAAGATAGTGGTGAGTGGTACTCTCCTGTGAGTTTTGGGTTTGTTGGAATGTGCTGGAATGCCAAATATGCTGAGAAGCAAATGCTCCAGCAAATGCAAATAGCAAATGCTATCTCTTGTGCATGGTATCAACAGAATTTTCTGCAGAGAGGACTGGAGCCAGCTGGGTGACACAACCCTGCTTCGCATTTCAGCATTTTGATATTATCTAGCAGATCCTTCTTTTCTGGTTCCCAGAGGAGCTGTCTCAGGAGGGTCAGGTTAGGCAAAACCTGGTGCCTGCTCCCACCAGTGTTTTCGTGATGCCTCAGCCTGGGCTGTGGCTGCATTTGTTGTAAACTGGTGTGTGAGTTTTGCATTTCTACAGCCCACTGTCCCTGGTGGTGCTCATTTGGAGACCCACAGCTGCCAGCATGGTCACCAGCAGCTCTCTCCATGGCATATGTCGTCCTGAGCCTGTAGGATGGAGGGATAGAGGGACAGAGGGAGGAGGCTGTGTTTGTCTGAGCTTTGCAAAAGTTGTTGGTGGTTTGTATGGTGCCAGGAGGAGACGAAGAGACATTTCAGTGAGTGCCTCTGTGCATACACTTACACAAGGCATGGCTGGTCTCATCAGCTGACACCAACCTTGCTTTGCACAATCAGATTCTTTCCTGATGCCTGTTATTGCTATCAAAATTTGAATGGGTGAGCAGGGAATTGAAGAGTAACAGAGAGGCTACTGTGCTTCTGAGAAGAGAGCTGGGAAGAGCATTGCTTCATCAGTGCTAAAAACATTGCCAAGTCTTCCAGTGTACAGGACACCATGAAGAATTCCAGGGAGCAGGAAGACCTGGAGGAGAGCCTGGAAGATGGGACCACGTGATGAAGCTGCCAGTCCCTCTGGCTGCACCCATAGCCATGTTGTGCTTTCTTCCACGTCATTACACTTCACGTTCTGCCCACTGGCTGGGCTTAGCCAGCGATTATACTTTATGTTATAACATCTCTTTGCTCCTCTCTACCCCCAGGAGAGGATGGGGAAGGTGATCTTGACTCTGAAATCTCCTCTGAGAACCTTTGATTTGTCCCAAGGACATGGACAGGGCAGGAGATCCCCCATGGCAAGCTGATCTTGAGATGCACAGGTATCTCTCCTGCTATTCGTCCACTGGTGTATTTTACTATTAAAAACTCAGTTGTGTGTTTTTTTCCCCTGTACGAGTGTTTCCAGAGGAGAGTGAACCATTGTGGGTCTCAGCATTGTTTCCAGTTTTCTGATGGAGACATCCTTTTGGAGTCAGCCTTCCTTGCACCTGGAGCGCGGATGCTCCATGCTCGGAGGGGCAAGACAAGGAAGGTGAGCCCGGTCCTGGGGTGCTCCACACATCAGGGAGCCGTGGGGTGGCACAGCCAGCAGCAACCAGGCCCCAGGAGGGAAAAAAAACTCAACAAAGAGACAGAGACTTGTGATTGTGTGAAAAACATGATGGTTCTTTGTCTGCTCCTTCACTAACTCAAATTTACAGAAGAAGGAGCCAGGAAGTAGTTTTGGAGAGCACCTCAGAGACCGGACTTTGAACACTGACTTAAGGCTGTAAAGGTGAGTGAGTACAAGTGGAAGTGATCCAGGCTAATGGGTGTTTTGCAAGGCAAATGGAACCGATCACATCCTGTGGGGTGCCTGCAGGTGGTTCTTGTTCCCCACCAGCTTACCCATAAATCCCATCACCTGTTCGAGGGCATATATATACAGCCAGGGGAAGAGCAGGATTTTCTTAGGAGACAGACTTTGGGGTTTGGAGTGGTTAAAGTCTTTCCTCTCTGCTTTTGGCCAAAGGTAAAGAAATTAATGATAAGTATCTTGCCCCACAGCAGCAGTGGCTGGTGGGGGTGCGTGCAGTCCCTGCTCCTTAGCTTTGTCAACCCTTGGGATAGGGCTGGAGGTATCACAAATACGCTGGTTAGGCAGCGCTAAGGGGTGGGGCTTTTTTCAGGTTACATTGTTGTCTGAAAGCTGGTTACACTGTGTACATACTTAAATAAACATGTATAAGCAAGCTAAGTGGATTTTAAGCCTGGGCATGGGCATTTGGGTTGATAAAAGCATGTGGTGGATGGTTTTTTGAGCTCGAGAAGCTGGTTGCTATGTACACTTTCTCGTGCTTGCAGCACTCACCCTCTGACTCTGACCAGGGTGGGCTAGGAGCCAGGATGTCCTTGTGGAATTTTCCTAGCTGAGATAGGCAAAGCAAGTGTTGAGAAGCACTTTCTCTTTTTCTAAATGAGCACAGTAGGGCACAACTGACTTTCCTGGGAACATTCAAAATATTGAGCTGAGAAAAGCTGGCATGTGATATTGGGCAGCTCTCAACACATTGAATAATGAATAACCATGCATGGGTTTCTTTTGGAGTTTTGTTATCAGTTGTAGATCCTCTGTTGTATTGCACTAAAAGTGAGCGTTGGAGTGTTTGCTGTTATGTGTTCTGCAGAACTGTTAAAAAAATAAGGCTGAATTTAGTGAAAGTAACTCCCTAAGCTGCTCTTTATTGTTATGAGTCTATCAAGACTTTGCAGGGAAAGAGAAGATAATGAGTACTGGAAATTGAGAAAATATGAAAACTTTCCTTTTTTAGGCTAAATTAGCCTTGTTGGAGACATTGCTGCTGGCAAAAGGAGGAAGGATATAACCAAATTTATTTAATGGATATATTTGTCTCAGGACATCAGGAAATGTGCCAGAGTCTGAGGTATGTAAATCTGTCACATTATGTACCAAACATGTTTGCTGGTTTTCCCCCATTTAAAAAAAGCTTACTTTTTAAAAAGGCAAATTGTGTTAACTAAAATTGGTAGTCTTTCACTTTCATAAATTATCATTCTGTAAGTCGCTGCATATTTGAATAGGTTATTTCAGACCATAAGGCGAAAGTGTCTCTTGAGAAAGACTATCAGTGTATTAATTAGAAGGGCTTTTGCTACAGAATATCACTGGATATGGGATCAAGAGCTAATTTATTAACCAGAATTTTTCATTTTAAAGTCATCTGCAGCAATCAGAGCTCAGGCCTTGCATGTAAGAGAACTTTCACCTTATTAAACTACACTTACATTTCTGTGCAGGTGAGTTTAGCAAGACTCTAGCCCAAATTCCTGACCTGGTGGCATAAATCTTGCTTTCTGCCTGAGCTCTCCTCTGATTAGACTTTACACGCATCTTCCATGCATAGTGCAGCTGTAGGAGAGGTTTAGGTGTGATTTTGTAGGGCTTTCATTTGTTGGTTGTTTTTTTTTTTTGGCTAGGCTTGTGTTCATAGGCTGCAGGTACTAGTGCTACAGAGGCCTGCAGCAACCAGCATCTGAGATCTCTGCCCTGTTTCAGCAAAGAAAGCTGCTGGTGGAGCGATAAACTGATCTAAAACGTGCTTGAGGGGTGGAGAGAAGCATGTGCAAGTCCCCTTGTGCGATGGACACTGCAGTGTGGTGCTGCTGCTGAGTTAACTCTGTAGTGCTCAGCGCAGACTATGAACTTGCCTCTTCCTTCCCTTTTCCAGGAAGGTTGGGAAAGCCCAGAAGCACTCCCTGGGATGTCCCTGCTGCAGGTTATGACTTCCCAGAGGAAATCATATGTCTGAAGCAGATGTTTTTGGCATGGGGTGTGAGGCAGAACTTGGGAAACTGGTGCTGAGTGATGTGCTCAGCTAGTGCTGGTCAAGCCCTGCTGATCCAGGGGGGATGGGATGTGCAGGTTCCAAGGGAAGTCGAGAGGCATGGCCTCATGCAGACCCCTCTGCAGACAGTTACTGGCTTCCTTCCCTCACAGGTGTTTTGCAAGTCTGATGCAATCCCTCCATGTAATGCCCTGGATACCCAAGCACTTGCTGGCCACTCCCAGGTGGAACCTGTTTTTTTCCAGGCAGCCAGGCATGAGGGGAGGATGAAATCTGCAGCCTGCCCTGCTGAGGGGCAATGCCCAGAGATGTCAGCAGCTAAAGGCTATACATAGGAATTCAGCAGATACAGAATTTATGTGGCTTTGGCTGCTTTCAGAAAATGTGCTCCTGATCCTGTGGCCCCTGGTCAGCCCTGTGCTGGCAGGGCAGATTTGAAAGTCTCAGGTGTGAAGAGACAGGAATTCTGCCTTGGGATATGTTGGGGGGAAAAAAATTCCATTTCTTATCAAACAACCTATGCCACCAAATCAGTGAAAGATCCACCCCATTCAAGAAAAGGGGAGGAAAAATGTGGTGGTGTCAGCTCCTCCTTGGCATTCCCCCTGAGGGCCCATGTACCTGTGGGCAAGGACAGAGCCCTGCCAGTCTCTTCAGAGTGCTGAGACTGTGGCAGCCTTGAGCAAGAACTCACATTCCCAGATGGAGATGGCCCTGGAACAGTTCTCAGGGGGAAAGAATCACCTCGAGAGTGGGTAGCTGTGGTGTCAGTCAGCAGTGAGTACCTCTTTCTTGATCCTGTTGCTTGGTGTGAGAAGGAGGAGCAGCAAGACAATAAGGAGGTCATGCCCTGACAATAAACTAGCTGCTGGTCTACAAGGTTGGATTAACAAGATCTACCTCAAGCTGTAGCAACACTAAGGATAAACCTGTAGTACTCGTCAGGCAGTGGATGGACCTTGAAGAGATGCAATACATCTCCATTGACTTCATACTCCACCGGATACTACAAAAATCCATTAAACAGTTTGAAGACATGAAAAGCCGATTGCATGTTCTGCCACCAACTGCTCTTCATCCTCCAAGTGGCCACACGATGGCAGAAGAAGCAAAGAACACTGCAAGAATAAGCGTTTAAAAAAAAAACCAAAACAACAAACAAAAAACAACCGAACAAACAACACAGTGAGGGTTAGTGTGTGTCCCAAGGTCAGTGGGCAGGCTGGCTCTCGCCTTCTGCTAAGCCATCTGCCAGGGACTGAGCTTCAAAAGCCTCCATCGCCAGGAACAGTAGAAACAAAGGTTTTCACAGGACATGAAAAGTATCTTGTGAGGGGATTTAATGGACTTTCTGAAGTTGTGAGTAGTTCACAGCAATCCCTTGGGTCACTCTGTTCTCGCCCTGGCTGTAGTCTGCTGAGAGCTTGGCTGATGTACTGAATAACTTGTTTTTGATGTTAATTGAAGTAGTGATGGGTCCCAACCAAGCTGTATTGTGCAAAATTCTCCCAAGGACCTGCCCCTTGTGGTCCCCTTGTCATGGGCAGGGCATGCTGAATGTAGGATGGAGACCCTACCAGCTCTGTGCAAGAGACCCTTCTGGTACTGCTTGTGCCATGTGTTACCCATGCAGCACAGGCTGTTTGTGGCATTAAAAATAGATTTCCCTTGTAAAAGACCTGTGAACTGATACAATTGCTACCAAATCAGCAGTGGAATCACGCAGGCCATTCCAGGGTGTGAAAAAGCCCAGTCAGGGTTGTTCCTCTTTGTGGGGCTGGTTTCTGCTGAGATAGGGGTTTCACTGCCCGAGTCCACTGTGTCAGCAGCAAACAGGGGGAGGGGGGAAATGACAGCTGCCTTGATTTCTCCAGTGAAATCCTGCATGGATGCTCTCTTCTGCTGGTGAGACCAACTCCCCTTCTTACCAGTTAATGCAGGTGAAAGGTGAGGAGCAACTGTACCTGTAGGAATATCCTGAAGAGAAGACTATGGTTCATTTCTGTGGGCCAGGTGAGTCAGGCTGCCTTGGCCTTTGGAAACATCTACATGCCTGGCTCCAAAGGCTGGTGGTTCACTGGGCACTGCTGGTCTGTTCAGCACCTACCAGAGCCCTGCAACAGGAAAAAATGTCTGAAAAGAACAACTCTCTCTTCTAACCAACACAAACAGGCTCAGAAAACATCAGAAAAGTATCCAAGAAGCAGTGCAAAAGCTGCAGGGTGGTGTAGGTCTAAGTTTAGTTCTCTTTTGTTTTGTGGGGGAGGGAAGTCTAGAGCTAAACTGGTTAGGTATTATATTATGATGTTTAACAATTCCCATTCATTATTTTAAAATGTGTTTCAAACTGCCTAGCATTGTTTCCTGGTTTCCTCTGTTGTGGTTAGGCCTTTGTGTGGAAAGATGAGTAACAGCACAGCTGCACAGAGAGTGGAAAGGTTGCACTTGGGATTCAGATGAGCACTGGCTGTGCCCTAGGGAATGCTGCCTTGCCCAGCAGGGATGTGAGAGCCTTTATGATCCATCTACTGCTGCCCTGGGATAAGTGGGGTTAAAAAAATCCCAGTAGGCTCCTGCTTGTCCACCTGACTGCTATTTTGGTGCTGGGGTAGGCTTTCTGTGCGAGCTTAGATATATCACACCATGTAAAACTGTCAGACAGTGGGTGCTTGAGTAGAGGAAATGTGCCTGGTTTTAGCCCTAGTAAAATCAATATGATGCTCTTCTTGCTTTAAAAATCCCAAGTGAAAAAAAATGTGTGTTTCCCAGGTCTCTGGAACCTGACAGTAGCTCTCCAGGCCCAGTCGTGGTGCCACAAGGTGGGGTTTTTTGGTTTCCAGGAGAAGCTGGCTTTAAAAAAGGAGCAGTGCAAACTGCTGAAATGACAGTGGTCCCTGGGGGCTGGGGTCAAGGAGCCTGCCTGCTCCTGGAGGTGCTTGGGGCTGTCAGCAAGAGACAGTACCAAGAAAACTCCCTGTCCTGTGCTGTTGCAGAGGATATTGCTCTAGAAAAGTCTGTTCTATTACCAGGCAATAAGGATGTCAAAAACATAATGAAAACCATGTATGTTTTGTTAGGTTACATCTTGTCTTTCTCAGTTTTGGTGGTTTATGTGGAAACAAATATTCTCATGTTCTGTGGCTGCACAACTAGGGAGAAGGTCCCTGGAGGAAATGTTTCAGATGAGTGTTGCTTCCACTCATGCGCTGTCCCAGCCCAGAGGGAAGAGGATGTGTTTAGCTTGTGTGCTGTGGGAAGGCTGGAGGCACCAGGGAATGCTGGGCAGCTGTGGGCTCAGAGGCTGCAAAAGTGCCCCAGGGAACAGGCTGGACTAGCTGGCAGCTGTCTGAGCCACCCATGGCAGTGAGCTGCCTGGGAAGAGTTTGCAATGGGGAAAAGTGCCCAGAGACCCTAAATACCTTCTGTGGTCAGTCATGATTTGAGGAAGATGCTCTGAGGTATGTTTATGATGGCTGCTTGAGCATCATGACAGTGGCTGGGTTTCTTGTACCAGATGAGGGGAAGACTGTGTTCTTGTACTTCAGAAAGCCAACCATGTCCTGGGCTGCATCACCAGCAGGTTGAGGGAGGGGATTCTGCCCTTTATTCTACTCTCGATACCCACACCTGCAGTGCTGTGTTCAGCTCTGTGACCCCCAACATAAGAAGGATGTGGACCTGTTGGGTCAAGCCCAGAGAAGGCAATGAAGATGCTCTGAGGGCTGGAGCAGTTCTACTATGGAGACAGGCTGAGAGAGAGCTGGGGAAGAGAAGGCTCCGAGGAGACCTTACAACCCCTTCCAGTTCCTAAAGGGGCTACAGGATTGCTAGAGGGGGACTCCTAAAGAGGGTATGTAACAATAGGACTGGAAGAATGACCCCTTGGGAGGTCACAAAAGGGATTAGTCCTCTTCAAACATAAAGAGGGCAGGTTTGCATTAGGTATTAGGAAGAAATTCTGCCCTGTGAGGGTGGTGTGGCACTGGCATAGGTTTCCCAGAGAAAGCGTGGCTGTCCCATCCCTGGAGATGCTCGAGTCCAGGTTGGATGGGGCTTGGAGCAGCCTGGTCTGGTGGAAGGCATCCCTGCCCACGGCAGAGGGGTGGAATTAGATGGCTTTTGAGTACCCTTCCAATCCAAACCGTTCTATGCCTGTGCCACCGTGCAGCGGGGGGAAGCTGCATTAGGGACAAATCGCACCCGTGGGCGGAGGTGGGCAGGAGGGTTTAACAGGGCACGACATGCCGCGGGTAGGAGGTTGCCCCCGGCCGCTGCCGCAGCCCGCCGCCGTCCCTCTGTCCCCCGCTGTCGCTCTGTCCCCGCGGGCCGGCCCGGGGCGCGGTGTCTCCCCCCGGCGGCCGCCGGCGGTACTGCAGCTCCCAGGCTGCTCCGGGGCGGTCCCGCCCCCGGGGCGCGGCGGGACAAAGCGGGGCTGAGCGGCGCGGCCGGGCCGGGCGGCGGGGCCGGGGCCGGGCGGCATGGAGCGGGGCCGGCGGCGGGGCCCGCGGCCGCAATAGGAGCCGAGCCGAGCTGAGCCGGGCCGGGCGATGCGGCGGTGAGCGCGGCGGGGCCGGGCGCCGCCGCGATGCTCCGCCGCAGCCTCAGCCGCCTGGTGAGTGCGGGGCCGGGGTGGCGAGCGGGGGTAAAGTTCATTGTTATTATTTTTCGCCTTGTGTTGGGTTTGTTTTTCCGGGAGGGGTGAGCGGCGCATCCCACTCCCGGCGCGGTCCGCCCGCGCCGCGGGGCCCCGGCCCGCTTCCCTTTCTTCCGTCCGTCTGTCCGTCCCTGCGAGCCCTCCAGAAGTTGCCTTTGCTGCTAGAGCCCAAACCTTGTTTTTTACCCCCCGAAACCCAGCGGAGGGGACTTCCCCGCCCTGGCAGCGCGCACCGCAAACCGCGTGGTTCTTCCCCGGGCGGGATGCAGGGTGTGCTGCCCCCGCCGCTGCTCCACCCGCTTCCTGCCCCCCAAATCCATCCCGAACCCTTCCCGATGCCACATAAGCTACTTGAAGATTTCACAGTGACCTCATTGCTTGGCCTGAATGCTGTAATTACTCATTTTTTCCTCTTCCACAGCAAATGTGGCAAAAGCAGTGTTTTAACATCATTTCAGGCGCCGCTGTTTACTCAGCAGTGTCATTGATTGCGCAGTGCGTAGTTAGGAAAGTTCCTGGAGTTCAAGCAGCAGGCAGCGGTGTGTGGTGTTAGCACAGCTCAAACGCCCTGAGAGGCTCCGGAGCTGGTTCCTGAGGCACCACCCGGTTACCTGCCGGAATAATGGACTCTGTCCGTAATTGCCTATAAGGCCAGAGCCGCTGGGAGATGCACTCTCATATTCACTTTTGGTTTTGAGCGAGCTGCTACGTGTGCCAGATTTTCCAGATTTGCAGGACAAGGGACGCTAAATCTCCTTTTTTAAGTCTGGAGGTAGCTCTGCAGTGCTCATGGGGGGGAAAACTGGTTGATTTTCCCATTTGTAGGTTGTGTTTCTTTTGCAGGCTCTGGGTTAGCCCTGTGGAGAACCAACCACAACCATTGTTTTGCAGCCTCGGGGTCAAATATATCTGATCTGAACTCAGTGCCTTGCTTTTCTGGCTTTGATGACTGAATTTATCTCTGCCCTGTGTTATGTGCTTCCTGCCCCACCCTTGTGGGAGGCTTTTTCTCAGTCCTGTTGGAAGGCCTTTGGGGTTTGAAGCATCTCCACGGAGTTCAGAGAAAAGCTTTTTTAGGTGGCTGCTTCCCCTGAGCAGGTACCCACAGAGGTACCTGACTAGGCTCTGGGTCCAGTACCCTCCTTATGTGTGAGGTGTGACCCCTCTGTTGCCCAGGGGCCCCTCATTGTATGACTCCTGTGCTGCCTGGGGGCCCCCACACAGCCTCTGTGCCACCTCTCACAGTCCCTTGCTGGGGGGAGTGGATGTGCATCGCTGCTGGGATGTGCTGTCCTTTGGGGCAGAGGAAAAACAGTCCTGAACACTGAACCCAGGTATTTCTAAATGCTTTGTGCAGGGCTGAACTGTTGCAGCACCTGTTTGGAAGGTTAGAGGTAATTTTCTGGCTAGAGGAACAGCTCTGCTTGGAGACCAGAATAGGATGGCAGGGCATCTGCAGTGTTGGTGAGGGGTTTTAGACCTGTTTTCCGCCTCTTGGCTTAGTAAGTGGTGTTTCAGTAGCAATGAGATGTTTGTTATCAAGCTGGTGCAAGTGGCCATATCAGCCTTTGGCTGATGGAGCAGCTCCTGCCATGCTGCTGCAGCTCTGCCCTGTCCCCAGCCCTGCAGGGTGCCCTGGGAGGTTTGGATTGGTCCCCTCTCTCCTGCTCCATGGGAGGAGGGGACAACCCCTGGCAATCTCCATGGAGCTGTCCCAAGCTGCTGTCTTGCCCTCGGTCCTGGTTGGGTAGTACTGGGCTTCAAGAGATGCTTGTCTTCATTGCAGAAAATTCACTGCAGTTACTGAAGGCTGCAGATTTTCTGACACTTAGGATCCCATAGGGCTACTCAGACAAATGTTGTAACCTCTTCTCTGTGTGGTCTCTGCCAGAGGCTCATCAATACCAACAGATATTAAAAATCCTGTTTTCAGCTGTATTTCACAGTTTAGGCAGGATGGATGTGCCTTGCCCTATCAACATGATTGTTTGTGGCTCTGTTTCTCCCTCCTATAAACTCTTATCCTGGACTGGGTATGACATGGGGTGGTAAAAAGAGCAAGAAGGGTAGAGTGGTGTGTGTGGATCTTCTTTGCTACCCAGGGGTACAGAGTGGTGCTCTACAGAAACAAATTGGATTCTTAACTTCAGTTTGCACCACTGAAATAATCCCTGCCAAAAGAATAGTGGGGCTGGGATCGCTGCGGGGAGGTGGGATTGAATTGCCGTGGTTAATCCACTTTTAGGAGATACTGTCAACTTGAAATATAACTTTAATTCTTTTTTGGAAACGGATTCTAGCACTGGAGTCTTATTTTTATATTCATGCTGCTTGTACAGCTGTTGCGGGGAGGATGCGGGAGTAGAGTGGGGAAGTGTGTTGGTGGCCCGGGGAGGGTTTGGGTCAGTCTGCTGTGCTGGGCTCCTCACAGGACTGGGGTGAGCTCTGTCCACTTCCACTTCGCTGGGAAGTGCTGGTCCCTGCGCTGTGCATCAAAGACAAGGTGCTTTTTCTCATTTATTACTCTTCCTGGATTCTTCCGAAGCGTGCAGACAGCTGTACCTGCAGGCCACAGCTCTGCACCACAGCTCTGCCAGTGCTGCAGGGCTGGTTCGGGTTGTTGTAAGAACTAAATGAGAAATGAGAAAGAGAAGTTACTCGTGTCCTCATTATTTCAGTTTTCCCCTCCATTCGCTTTTATTTAAGGCTGGTCTGGAAGTGAGCCCTGGGAGCTGTCACCCTGCTCACAGTGCAGGAAGGCTGCAGGAGGCAGGGAAAGACCCAAGGTGTTCTCTCTCCTCTTGGGGTACCTGGTGCTGGCTGAGCTCATGGACTGATATTTGCACTCCCTTCTGGATCTCTTGCCTCTGCAGTCAGTGCAGTTCCTTGCTCTGGTATTTTCCTATTCTGTTCAGAACCCAGGATAATTAAGAAAACAACAAACAGTCTGTAATTGGGAGCAAAATTCTTCTGTTTGTGTGTTTGTGCAGTGCCCAACAACAGGACCTTAGTTGTGTTATTCCCTTTTAATTAATACCTTGGGGCCTGATCCTCTTTGCAGCCTGTACCCTGGTAAATCCCTGGTGTTTAGCAAGTGCTGGGCTTGTTGTGAGCTGCAGGTTCTCAAGAATGTTTGCTTGATGTTGTGGAAAGAAGGTGCATCTTAGATGGTCATGCAGTGCTTGTCCCTGGGCTGGACCCACATTGTGACTCTGTGCCTTTGCCTTGTTGTAAGTTGGAGTGGTGTTCCCCTGCTGGTCTTCTGGAATCTGCAGCTGCCAACCACGGGGTTACCCCCAGGTTGTTTATGGGACCCTGTGGGGCAGGTCCTAACTGGTGCCCTGCAGGAAAATATCCCCACTGAGACCTATTCAAATGACAGAAAATGGGAAATGGCCCAAAGTCATTTTTTAGAGGGGAAATGAATTCCCCATTGGTGATGAGAAATAGGTGAGAAGGGACAGGGGTGGGTGGAGAGAGCTCCTGGGGTGCACTGGGCAGTGTGGGAGCTGACCACTGTTGGTTGCTGCTCACCTGGCCCCTGCCCAGCTCGGGGGGATGCTGGAGTATGACTTGTGGGAGATGTCTGAGTCTGAGGTGGAGGATGTGTCTATAGTTTTTGCAGCAAATATGTAATAATGTCTATTTTGGGACATGGAGCACATCTGTGATTTTCTTTCACATTTGTTTTTTTTTTTAAGACAGTGAATCAAACATTAATGTGTGATTGCAGTTCTTACTCTAATAACAAAGAAGACCATAGGCAGGAGTTGGTGGCCTTGAGAATTGTCTTTTTTCCCCTAAATCAAGTCATGGTAACAGCTTGTGAGTAAGGCTTCATGTCAGATACCTTGTACCTGACTGACAACTTCTGCAAGAAGTGTTTTGCTTTCATTAATGTGACAAAAACTTGCAAGCAGCAAAGGTTGGGGTTGGGGTGTTTCTGTGACACCAGGTGGCAGTTCTGCTTGGAGAAATCCCACACTTCAAAAGAGTGTGAATTTTAACGAAGTGACTTGAATTTTTCATGAAAGTTGCTGGAATTTATTTTGTAAGGTGTATTTAACATGATAACAGTGTTTCATGCACTTGGGGCCAGTTCCCCTATAGCAACCACAGGGCAGCCTATGCTTGATGGCAGAGAAGACAAGCTCAAATAGCTGCAAAAGACTTTTTCCCAGGGATACAATCCCTTATTGATGCTCCTCCTCTGGAAAATGGGGACGCAGGAGTTTCTCAACTTCCGTGGAATGTGGAGACACAGGAGTTTCTTCGATTCCTGTAACTGTTTCCTCTTTAATGTCTCCTAACTATAACCTTATTCCCAGAAATAGCTCAACCATTTGGCTAAAAATAAAGAAAAATCAAACAAAAAACTTACCCTGGGATAAAGAGCTGCATGGAAACATTCATGTGTGCAGCTGAAGGTTGGAGAAGTTAGAAAATGCTGTAAGGAGGGACTGGAAAGCACCAGTCAAACATTAATGATAAATGGTGCTGCCAATTAAACCTGTGGTGTGCAGAAACTTTTTTGTGGAGAATAACATGTGTCTGGCCTGTATTTTATTCTTCACTCAATACCATTTTTGTCCCCAGTTGATATTTTGCTGAGAATAATGATGATTGTCTGGGCTGTGCGGGGATGGTTCAGAGCTGAGCTGACTGGAGTTGCAGCTGAAGGCATGGCAATTTAATTTTAACAATAAAAGTTGTAAAACCTAACAGGCTGTCTATTAATAGCAAGCTTTTCAGCCTTGCCTTTAATTTCATCCTGTTGCCTTTAGTTTATGCACTTCCTTTCTGATTAAAACTGCTGTTTTCTGGCTGTAACTGTCTCTCTCTAGTGGAGAGATTTATTTTTTTTTTATGTTAGTTAAAAGCTGGTGGAGAGTATTCGTGGGATCTGTAAGTTCTGACTTACAGACCTTCCCACCCAAATTAGTTGTTGTCTGCCAGTG